GAGTTTATATCCCTGGTGATAAGAAAGTATGGTCTATTTGGGAATGTCAAAATGAGGTAAAGCAGGAGGTGATGGTACTATTTATCAGACATTTGTCTTGGTGACTTCTGCACAGCTTTTCTGCCTGAGCAAGCAATGTGACTGCTTACGAGCAGAATTTATGACCTGAGAGCAAAACCTCAGGTTCCTCACATTGATCACCAGTTAAAAGGTATCTCCCTGTCACACTCAGCCACCTTTGGTACTCAGCAGTGCTTTCAAAACCATCCCTTTAAAAACCTACTTATAGAATGCTTTGGAAGGCCACAATGAGGGAACATAGTGGGGCTTGTAAGATCTCAGGTTGACCCTAGCAATAAATACAATAGAAAGTACAGAACTGAATTTGACTCAAGTTCAACATTGTTTGTATAAAGGATGATTGGGGTCAGGAAAACCACATCTGTCTCCAGTTTACTCAGAACAAATCTTCTCCAATTTTTCCCCAGTTCGATCTCAATAACACCAACTGTCTGTGGGTTTGTATATTCCTACTTGATTGAAAATGATTCTGTCACTGTTCTGCATATGTCTCCCTAGACCAATTAACAGTACTCCCTTTTTCCTGTGGCTTGACTATATTTAAACCAATGTTCTTAGCAAGGGAAGTTCTTAGAAAGTGCAGCATATGGCTGATTTTTATCCCAAGGTGATATCATGAGGCAGCCCTGGAGTCCTTTACTGTTGCTTTCTCCAGCTACTCTGCAGCAGAAAGCTCCTAATGGAGTTATTTCATGCTCTGAAAGTGTAGAAAAGTAGTGTAGGTGTGAATGGCTCAAGCTGTAAAGCCAGGCTTCCAAGAGGGCTTAGGAGAAAAAGACAAGTGGGCAAATTATGGGATGTGGCCATTGGAGAAGATCAGTGAAATGGAACAAGTCTGGGAAAAAGAGAGAAGCAAGCTGAAGAATAGCACTTGAGACTAAATTCTGCTTTGTCTCAAGGCTGCTGGGTTAGAACAGGACTCATTGATTAAAAGCTACACTGCTAATTTATTTGTAAGCGTGAATTTGTGGATTCCTAACATATTTGGCTCCTTTGTTGATAGCTGAAGGCCCTTGGCTTGAGTCTTGACAAGAAGTCCCCTTACTGTTGGCCTGCTTCCATCATCCCTGAAGCAGCATTAATTATTTTTAATGAAGAAATCCCTTCTGCTGCCAAATGACCTTTCTGAGATTCAGTGTGAGCTAGATTTTCCACTTCTTGCTTAGGCTCCAAGATCTACAAATACACATGACCATGAAAGAGATTAGCACAGAGGAAACTGATGTGGACTGGTTCCTAATTCCAAATTAGAAAACTAATTGGAAAGGAACAATTTACAATTGGAAGGGAGTATAAGACCTCCTCTGGATTTCCATGACTGACCAACCCACTGCAGTGTTCTAGTTATAAACCTGGAACTGAATGATATTGTATAACTCCTAACTACTCAGCCAATGCCTAGCACAGAAACACAGAGTCCTTTCCAATGAGTAGTTGCACCCTGTAATTCCCCCACATTCGGATGCTGTACAAAAGTGATGCATCAGGAAACTGCCTCCAACACAGTTTCTGTGAACAGCCAAAATCCTACACGAAGTGTGAGCAAACTCATGTAAAGAATGAGGTCACATCATGCAGCAGTTTGTCCAACTTACAGGATTAGTGTGAGGACTGCCAGCAGTATTAGGGATCTCAGGGGGAAATCAAGGAAGTTATACTCTGTAGTCCAAGCAAACATAGCATTGTAAGCAGACTCTTCTCTTTATGGCTGTTCTCCCAGTTCCTTTTTGATCCCTGGGCTGTGTGGTGGGGGAAACACTGCGTGGAAGTGAGTCGGTGACTGTGTCAGGCTGATCTGAGCAGTGCCTTGTGTTCTTGCAGTGGAACTTCCCCTTGCTGATGCTGGTTTGGAAGATGGCACCAGCACTGTGCTGTGGAAACACTCTGGTGATTAAACCAGCTGAACAAAGTCCTCTGACATCTCTGTACATTGGCTCACTTATCAAGGAGGTAAGGAAATCTGAGCATCCAGTCTAGGTTCTGTTCTCTTAAGGTTGTAAGCAAGATTGTGTTTTGAGTTGGCTGTCCAGAATGTTAGGTTTTAAAGATATTAAAGCCTCACAAAGGAAAGTGAGAATTGCCTCTGCTTCAGCCTTTTTTCCTAAGGCCTTTGTGACTGGCTGGAAGGTAGCAAAGATCACAAAACCTGTAGGTTTTTCTCCTTCCTCAGGATGCTGCAGAGAGAATAAACGGTGCTTTGATTCCTCTGCCTTGTCTTCCAAAAGAGGGAAAGACAACAGCTCAGTTTTGTTGCACAATGAGACAAAAAGAGTGTGATTAGACAGCAGTGTTGTTTGTACCATTTCTAAGTGGGACAATTCAACCAAGACAGAGTGCCCTGGGAAACAATTCTTCATCATTTCTGTGGTTCATAGAACAATTTGGCTATGTCTGGCCTGTAAATCCAGCTCGATACTGACATAAAGGAAGGGATTTCAAAATGTTTGCTTAGGGCTTGTCAGGTAGGATCTTGTGTGCCCTCAGATATGTTACTCATGCAGAGGTGGTGGGAGGTGCACAGAACCTTCCAGGACTGGTCAGTACTTCAGCTTCCTATAGCTGTGCGTGTGACTAGCTGCAAGGAAGACTAAAAGGGTTGTAGATACAGTTTTGCCTCTCAGCTGGAAGCCTGTTTGTTAGGCTCAGTAGAATGATGATGATGGTTTTGTCTGTTCTTGGCTTAGCCTGGGAAAAAATAGAAGGATATGTTGGTAATTGACACTTAGGGCTGCTCCATCAGGAAAGGAAGTGGAAAAATAATACCAGTTAAGTATCTCCTACAGTTACTTGACTTAATAAGATTACACAAGACGAGTGAGCACAGGGTGCAATTGTCTTGACTTCTAGTGAGCTCTGCCACACCACTGCTTTTTATACTCTGACATGCAGCTCCCCAAACACATGCATAGCATTCCCCTCCCCCCCACCCAAAAAAAACCCCATTAAATTTTGGTAAAATCAATTTTTTGAGCTGAAATTCTAAACTCTCTGTCAGTTGTCCTTCGAGGCAGAAGTGTAATTAGAGCAGAATAACTGTATTTGAAGATGCTCCTTTCTCTACCCAAAATTAGTTAAATTCTTTGCAGTTTTCCAGAAGAATAAGTTAAACTTCTTTGGTTTTCATCTCTAAAAGGATGCGGAAGATGTTACCACACAAGCAAAGCTATGTGTTAAGTTCAATGAAATAATTTTGGGCCAACCAAAATATTTTGGCTTTCTTTTTTTCTGAAAAACAGAAAAAAGATTTTGGCTCAGTATGACCTGAACCAATTTTTTTTGCTTCCTTGTGGCTTTGCTGCTGCCTCCAAACACCATTACTTGCACAGTTTGACACGCAGTATTTGCTTGAAAACACATTAGCCAAGATGTAAGCTCCATTCACTTTTGTCATTGTCACATCCACAGAAGAAATGAAACTGCCCTTCCAATTTATGAAAAGAATAAACAAGAAAGAAAAGCCTTATGAGGATAATTCTTTGCAAGATAATCCGTGAGCAATTACTTCTTTTTTTCTCTATTAAGAAGGGAAAACTGCATTTATTGAGATTTTATATTAAAAAGCCACAAGAAATGAAACAAATGTGTAACATTCTGCAATTCTGTCATTAGAAACTGCAGGGAAAACAGGCTTGTGCTATCAGTGGTAGGGGAAGGCTAACCTACAAGAGCATAATCCTTGAAACTCATGTTTCAGGAAGTCAGAACAAACCAGTAAGTCCCTCAGTTCTCCTCACACTAGAATTTCACCTAAAGTTTTGCCATTTGTCTCTTTTGGCAGAATCACTAGTTGGCTAATCTAGGTTGTAAATGTGGTGGAAACTTGCATAAGTCTGTTACCATCTGCTTTTGTATTCCTGTTTTATTAGCCCCATCATCTAGTGAGGTTTTACTGACTTCTTAATCCCTCTGGCCCCTGAAGAACCACAAATGTCAACCTTTGTTCAAAACAAACTTTCATTCAGTTACCCCTTGGCTCCAGCTGCACTGCAGTAGCTGGGGGCCAAGTTTGGCCAAGAGACTTACTCTCTTTTGACTTGAAACTGGGACTTCTCCAAGAATTCTTACTGAAACTTGGCATTTCCTAAGCATGGCTGTTAGTTTCACCCATGTCTACTCCAGCTGGTAGCACGCAGCCATGTTACTGGAAAGCCTGGAAAACTGTGATATACCTGGGAAGAGCTTGTCTGCAACTTGCAAACCTTAATTGTGAGGAATATGGTACAACTAATTCAAATTTCCCAAGAGCTGAACTACACTCTCAAAATCTCTACAGAGCTGTATTTAACCTCTGTTTCAGGTGGGTTTCCCTCCAGGGGTGGTGAACATTGTGCCAGGCTATGGCCCCACAGCTGGTGCTGCGATTTCTACCCATGACAGCATTGATAAAATTGCTTTTACTGGATCAACAAAGGTAGGCGATGGATTTTCCATAGAGCACCTGCTGTACCTCTTTGCATTCTCTTCTAAACTGTCATCCACATAAGACTTGACCAATGAAATGTCAGTGATTTCTAGCCAACACCTTTTTCCATCACATTCCATGTGACAGTATTTCTCAGAAGTGTTTGGTATTTGTCTCCTTCAGGTCCTTGTGCTTGTGGTAATCCCACATCTCTCTAAGACAGGTTTTGCCAAACCACCACATTTCTGTGAGGACTGTAATAGATGCTCTGACATTAGGTGACACAGTGTGTGCGCAGGGGAGGTTGGCAGTGACTTACCATCATGTCATTGACCTGATGGAACTTCTGGGCAAGTTTGCTTGCCAGTCCTGCCCTGCAACTGGAAAACATGTCAGTCAGTCAGCCCTGAACAATTCTTCCTTGGCTTTAGTTACCTCTGAGGAACTAGGACTTAAACAAAAACATGGCCCCATGCCCAAGGCCTCCTCTGCTGACGTGGAGGGGATTAACATTTGAGCTTCTTCTGAGACCTGCACAGTAAAGCACCTTCTATTCAGTTTTTTTCCTGTAAATAGCTATGTCTGACTTGTTTATGAGAGGAGTGGAAGCAAGGCCTCTGCACCATCACTCATCTACAGTTGTCCTTTTTTGTACCTACATGGAGAAATGAGTGTATGGCTTTGCCTAGCCCATGGGATTCAGCACAGCTGAGACATGCAAATAAATTTCCCTCCAGTAATCACTGCTGAAAATTCTCAAACAAAAGATTGCTTAGAAATGTGAATGTTTTCCCACTAACTGCTTTAGGTGTTTCTTGCACCCCCTGAAGAAATGCACCATCCAAGGAATGGAAATGCTGACACCAGAGGCAGCAGTTGAGGCAAATAGGGTCTCTTCTCATTTATTTCTTTGAGGAACATTATTCTTGTGGAGCATTTGCCAACTTCATCCATTCTCATGTCTGTCCTCATAATTGCAGAGCATAATCTGAATGTATAATGATGATAAATTACTTTGCAAGGTGCTCTTTGTCGTTAAAGGTAACTCTAAACACTCAAAAGCTTCTGCATTTACCAACACTACCATCTAGTGGCTTTGTGTACATCATAACTGCTGAGCTTATCCCGTAGGAAAAGGTGTGTTAAGCCTCTGTTTCTGTACAAGGATCATGGGAACAAACACGAACACAATAAAGTAAAAGTTCACAATGAGCTTTTTACTCTCTTGATAGTTGGTCTAATCTCAGAGTTTACTCAGTTACATGTTTCTCTCCAAATCCTAGATCAGAAACTTTTAGCCCAGATGAGACATTGGCTGTGTGAAAACAATGGAGCTTATAGACTCATCCAGCCCACATGGATCTGTTTGGGTTTTTAATGAAAAAGGAGTATCCAGTGGATTAGTGGTAGAAGGAAAATCTCAGCTGCTGGAGCCTGTAGGCAAAAAAACCTCCTGTAGACACTGTGCTTGTCTCCTAATCCATGGGTGTGCAGGAAACACCAAGGGAGACAGATTCTTTGCTAATGCATGTGTAATTTAGAAGTGTTTTCTTCCCCCTCCACCCATCTGTGAGTTCAGCTGCATCTCTGCAGTATTTGCAGCACAATGCTACTGTTTCTGAGCCAGGAAATGGAGCTAATTCAAAATATATTTTGACTTAGTTTTTAAGCCCCAGCTTGGGCTCAGTGCCAGCTTGGAAATACTGATTTTAAATTCCATGAGAATTTTCCCATCTAGATTTCTTCATTCCTCTTAGTTTATTAATTTACCCCTCTTTAGCCAGCTAGCTTGTAGCAGTGCCTCTTGCAAAGCTAGGATGCACCACTTATTTCTGCTGTCTCTAGGACTAAGCTCTGAGTGACTAGAGATGATCTGCACTGCTAATAAGAGGAGTCATGCTTGAGTTACAAAGGCAAACCGTGAGAAATACATGAGCTGCTCCATGCTTTCCTTGCTCACAGCTCCACTCCAGGGCAACAGTATTTTTAGGCAGTAATAAAGTTAAGGTTTCCATGTGCAAAGGTAAAATACAGGAAAATCAGTTACAAAATGAGTAAATTCAAATACAAGGTCACTTCTTAAGAAATTAACCTGCCCTAAAAAATAAAGTTCCCAAATAGTTTTAATTCATACTGTTTCTAACAGAATTATTTAACTCGGAGCACAGTCAATCCTTCCCTTCAGGACAGGGTGGCCAGTTAAAGGCCAATAGATGGTCAGAGAAGGTTCCTGTGCAGAAAGTGCCATGGCAGAGCTTGTTGGAGTTCCTCTGTTGAAATCCTCAAGTTTTGCCTTGGAAGGAACACATTTCAGCTACTCTTGTGTGTGGAGCAGCTCAGTCTAAACTGTCAGAAAGTATTAGTTTTCCCCTAAATGTCAAAATCTCTGCATAGCTTTTTGGCATGGGAGTGCTAACAGATAGGAACAGTGAGTTCTTATTGCCTCAGCAAGATTTACTCTTAGAAGTTGAATTCCCAGGTTTTAAAAGGAAAACTTGTAGACCTTGGAGCCCATTGACTGCCAGTGTTGCTCACTAGCTTGCTCTGGTTGGGAAATACCTTGTTCCACAGCTCTGGGTAGCAGATAACTTCAGGATACAGATCCTGGAGCTCTCACACATAGCCTGCACTTTAAAATCTGCCTAAACCAAACCTTTGTTCTGGGACTGACCCAACACATCTCAGCAGTAGGAAACTCAAACCCTTTCAAAGTGCTCCCCCTGACTTCTACCTGCTTCAGCCACCCACCAGGCTTCTCCACCCTTGTTAGCATCACACTTGACACATTGAGTTGAGATTTTCAGGGGAAACAACTCATGCCCTCTTTGTGTCTCACTGCTACAGGTTGGAAAACTGATTAAGGAAGCTGCTTCCAAAAGCAACCTCAAAAGGGTGACATTAGAGCTGGGAGGGAAAAACCCCTGCATTGTGTGTGCTGATGCAGACTGTAAGTATGGGCTGCTGTGTTTATTTGCTGTAAGAGACTGAGTGTGTTGGGGTTTGGGTGTCTCTGCTGCCCTTTGGCAGCTCCCAGGGCTGGTGTTTGCCACCATATCCACCCCAAAGGCTGGAGGAGACCTCTGTCCAAGAGCAGAATGGAGTTCTGAGTTGCTGAAGCTCTTCCCCAGCACAGGGATCATTCCCATTGCCTTCCCTGGGGATGGCTGCAGTTGCAGATAATTCTTGCATTTGTGTGTTTCTGTTGTTTGTGTGCTTTTTGTGTGGTTGGCAGTGCTGCAGAGCCTGAGCCAAGCACTGAGGAAAGCAGTTTTCTGGAAAGCAGTCCCTCTGCAGGCATTCCTATGCCAGAAGTTTTGTAGGTCCTGATCTAATCCAGCCTTCACCTCTATCCTGGGGGTCTGCAGGGCTCACTTCACATGTTTCATTGTGATTTTGTTGCATTAGTGGGTAGTGCTAGGAGATATGTATAACCTGTGACCATCAAAATGGTTGGAAAATCCTATTAGGCTTCAGGAAAATACTCTCCATTCTCCTGCACAGCACAGCAGAGGTTGAAAGTCAGAGGTATTTGTGCCATCTGCTAACAGTGAGCATTGCAAGGACCTGATCAAGGCTGGCACACTGCTTTCTGAACTATCACTACTGAAACTACTCTATAGGAACCAATGCATGGCATCTAGGAGTCCACATTTGAATTCTCACAGCAAGAAAAACTGGTCACTGCCTTCAGTGAGTCTTTGTGGAAGAAAGTGTCAGGAGCTATGGCAACCAAGACCTCGAGACAAAAGGCAGGAATGGTGGTGGTGGGGGTGGATAGGATTAGAGATCTGGTTTGGGGGCAGTATGAGGTCCTGTGAGTGCCTTCCATGGGTGTGGACCATTGTCAGCATTTTTTGAGGAGATTTTCAAAAGAGAGAGGAAAAAACATGTCTGGAAACATTGGAAGGCTGAAACTCTGCATGTGGTAAAACTTTTCCCTCCTGGGCCATTTTGCAGTGGACTTGGCAGTGGAATGTGCCCATCAAGGCGTGTTCTTCAACCAAGGGCAGTGCTGCACTGCTGCCTCCAGAGTGTTTGTGGAGGAGCAGATCTATCCAGAGTTCGTCAAGCGCAGCGTGGAGTATGCCAAGAAACGACTGGTTGGAGACCCTTTTGATGCCAGAACTGAACAAGGGCCCCAGGTAACTGTGCCTGAGAACAGTTGTTTGGTTTTTGGTTGTGGTTTTGTTTAATTTTCCTTGTGTAAATATTATCCTTACGAATATGGTCCCAGCAGAAGTGCCGAGGGGTGAGTAATGTATCATGGCTTTATTTTTCCTCTCTATTTTAAATATCAATTAATCACAAGTGTTGAAATGTTATGTTGTAATTTTTTTAAAACACAAATGTATTTAATTCAGTTCTTATCCAGCCTTATGGAAGGGGCTGTCTCCCTGGTACAGTAACACAAAGCATGTTGCAGTGAGCCATAGCCCTGTGCACAAGAGTGCAGCTGCAGAAAAGGCCATTCAGCTCCTTGGCTGTGTGGGTGATGACAAGTAGTTAGAGCCCAGGGACTCCTGAGTCCTCACTTTCCCTCTCCTCCTCTGCTCCCTTTCTGATCCTCTGGCAAAGTTTCAGCTGCATTAGGAGGAAGAATCATGCCAAGCTGCTGTCAGAACCAGCCTCCTCAATGCTTCCAGAGCCTTCCTCTTAGTATTTTCTTCTGAAGCAATCTGAGCTGCACTGGAAGGCTCTGGAGGAAGATGATCCTTGGGTCAGATCTTCTAACAGGTCCACTGTTTGCTACCAAAACCAAACCAGGATTCCCAGAAATCTGTAGCTGAGGCCTCTTGTTTTCATTACTTCACTGTGAGTTTTTCTTCCTTGGTGCTGTGTAGGATCTGCTAGAGTAGGGATGGCTCTCAGGACATCCGCCTCTCCTTATCTGGATCTGAATCCACATGTCAAAACCTCATTGCATGTCCTCATGCATGGGTAATAAGATGATGTACATCCCCTGTTCATGCTGAGGTTATATCTAGCCCTGTAACTTGCCTAGAAACAGATTTCAAACTGCTCAGCAGTCTTAGGAAAATAATCCCATGCTGAGACTTGCTTCATCAGAGATGAGCTGACCCTCAGACTGCTTCAAGGTCTGCTTTTATCCAACAGTAGCTGACTGGGCAGCTTATTTCAGTTCATCCTTGCTCCCAGCTCTTGCCAGGCTGTCAGAGCACTTCCCAGGGCACACTGTGGCACAGCACCATCCTCTGGGATCACTGTGGCTTAGAGAGACTCTTTGCATACAGAGCTATAATTAAGGGTAACAGTAAGCTGAATAGCAGCGTCTGGTCAGATTTTAAATACGGCCCATCTGTCATCTTTCCCTGCTCTGGCTTACCTGTTACACTTGTAGTTAGGAGAGATCATACACCCACACACACCTGAACTTGTGTGCATGCAGCTATCAAGCCCAAGATGGGAAGGTGTTGAGAGAGTGGGAGGAAACTGTAAACCCCAAAAGCTTTTGTGCAAAGGAACAACCACTTTCTCTGCAGCTATAGTTCCTCACTCTCTGGAGCCTATGCTGTGGGCACACACAGAAACTTAAGCAGAGGAGAGAAATGATGCAGTGTCACAAGGGCTTAAAATACTTCCAAAAGTAGCAAAGATTCACACCTGCCCACAAGTTACTGTTCAAATGTGAAGTTTCCAGATCAGATTGTTTTTCTGTTCCTGAAGTGACCTGCTTGACTATGAGGGTTTTTTTATCTTGAACTGATGGATAAGGGAAGAATCACCAGGAAAAATAATGTCTTCCTCTTCATCTCTCCCCATCAGTTGCTTCAGATCCAGTCTGTTGTTTTCATTCTCCTTCCATGTGGGTCAGAGTGAACATACACAAAGCATTACAAACACGGCCACATGCTGCTGCATAGATCCCACTCTGGGATGGTCACTGGCTTAGGAGCCAAGAGTGGGAAGGAGCTGGAGTCAGTCTTTAGGCTGACAGTGGTTTAGCCCATGATTTTTTGGTCCTACATCAGTTGTAGGTGATGACAATCCTGTCCCACAAGAACCTGAAGTTGATGTAAGCTAGTCCTGGAAAAGCAGTCCCATGTGCAGCTGTTTGTTCCTACATTGCATTGCACTAGACTGGGGAACTGGCTGATTCAGGTCTAATCCAGCCTTTTTGGATGTGAGGAAGAAAGGTTTTACTCAGGTCAGTTCCCTGAGGTGGATTACAGTGCACTGGCATGGATGCTCATGGCATGGATGTGGGGAAAAGACTGTGTCAGCTGCAGTATTGGGTTCTGCTGATATAAACTGTACTGCTCTGATCAAAATTAGGTCAGCTTTGAACAGTATTAAATTTAGGCAGAAATGAGGCATGCTTCTGATGAGACTTCTCCAAAACTCACATGTGTCTGGCTGTGCTGCCTGGCTGGAATTCAAAGGACACCACAAGAAACCTGAGGGGTGATCAGGACTCTTTGAGCAGAGTGCCAACCTCAAATGCAGACCAAGGGCAATTTTTAACTTTGGATTCCTGGGAGCTGGATCACAGGAAGCAATAAAGTAAATCTGCACAGATGGCAAACTGGTTAACCAGTGCATTATACAACTGTGAACAGCAAACTGCATTAGATGAGCCTAATGTCCTGATGGACTAGAACAGGGACTAGATTAGAACAAGACTAGACTAGTTGTGTTATTTAGAACCCCAGATTCTGGATTCATGGACTGTAGGACCTAGTCTACAGAAATAAAATAAGCACTAATCATGGCACTTGTTAGCCAGAAGTTATTCAGCTCGAAACATAGTTTGATTTTTAAGAAGGTGAATATTTCCTTAGACTGTAGACATATACCTCAGGATTAAAGTGTGAAAGCAAAACATGTAAGTAAAAATGGTCGGCATCCAACAGTCTGCTGGCCTCAGTTCTGGGTTATTCTGTAGGATTACAAATGCTAGGTTTGGAAGAGTGCTCTGTGTGGTCATGACTTCCATGAGGCAAAAGATGAAGATTTGGGGGTTCTCAGATTTTCAGCATTGCAGTGATCCTTAGAAGCTTTCTCCTCTATTGAATTAGATGAACAAATAGTAGAATTTGCTTCACCAAACCATGTGTTTTTAATAGAACTCAATGCTTGAACTATAAATAATAGTGGAGTAGGGGACAGAATTTAAACAAGCCTTGCAAGCTCTAGTTACAATGACAAACAGTTCCACCCTTGCATGTCATTTTTACAAATGTTTTCTTTCCCCAGTGTCTTTTCATCTAACTGTAGTTTGCCTTGCAACAAGTTACAGCTGTATAAATATCCTTGTTTTGTTTTCTGTGATGTGAAGTGGATGGACTGGATTGGTCTGGATCACAGACATGCCAGGATGGAAAGCACTTGCAGATATTTTCAAATTATTTACATTTGGCAACTAAGCAACCAGACAAATAGACAACATGTATGACACCTGCCAAACTCACTCTGTGACACTGTATCCTATGTGAAGGCACACATTTCCTCGTGCAGTAGCATGTATCAAGTGTTTCCTTGGGTAGCACCTTAAGACATGAGAGAACATGAGCATTCAGTACAAGCTGACCACAGTGCCTGTGATCCACACATCTGTGTGGCAGGAGATGTGCTCTGTGCTGTGTTCTCTGTTTTTGCTGTGTACCAGAAGTACCCCAAGGACACCCTCCTGCAGCTTTGATATTTGTCTAAAAGCATGAAAACTTGGATTGTGTGTGGCCAGGATTAACTAGGGACAGGATACAGTCTGTAATCTGGAGGAGTCAAATGTGGAACACGCCATGTAAACAGTCCCAACTGGCAACTGGCCCTACTGAAACAAAAACAGATGCCTAGGGAGGAAGACTGAACCAGTCCAAGCATCTGGAGATACCTGGCATCCAGAATAACCCCCCAGGCTGTCAGGGCACCTTGAACCAGCGGGTGGAGTCTTCTATTTAATCCCCTCAATAAATTTGTCGAGATTTTTTTTTAGTTTTGCTTTTCAAAAACATCTCTGTAAGTCTTTTACTCTCTTCAGGGTGCTGTGATGAGGTGTTGCATCCTTAATTATACATCATGCCAACAGCTAGGTCTGTTTGTTTGAAACCTGGCAGTGCCTGCAGCACAGTGCTGCAAGTGGGGCACAAAAGAAGGATCAGTGCTGATCAAAAGTTCTATGGGCTTCTGCACCTCTTCCCAGCATGTCCCACTGTGCTTGTGGAGTACATGATGTCTCCTGCAAGTCCTGGTGCAGCTGTGCAGCTTCAGAGTCCTGTCACTGGACTGGCCTTTCCCCACCTCCACTGTTAGTTAAAGGCTGGTAATGACAGCACTCACTGTTTGCGATTGCTCTGTATTTAGGTGTGGGTGAGGAGGAGTTAGACAAGATTGGTAGTTAAAAGTGAAGGTATGGTTCCTGGTGTAGAGAATCAAAAAGTGCAGGGATGGTACTAGTCTCTCAGATCAGAGAAATCATTCTGAGTATAAAAGCAAGGCTTCCGTGCAGCAGTTGTTCTGAAGTCACCCCACCAACAGGGTTTATCTTTGAGGCTGCTCATATAGTGTGCATGTGAATAAGGAGATGGAGACAGAGCTGGGGACAGAGGGCTATGGGTGAAGCTGCACACTCAGCAAAGTTGACTTAATTTAAATACCCTGATTCTCTGTCTCTTGCACTGATTCTGTTGGTGGTCAGATTCCTTGCTGAGCTGACTTGAGGTTGCTAGTCCAGCAAAACCCATCTCAGGCTGTTTTCGTGCTGCTGCTGAGCTAAATCAGTGCTTGGAGAAGGTCAGCAAGTCCCACAGCTCAAGTGAGGTGAGCCATGGGAGCCACATATCCAGGACTTGGAGGAAGGGAAACTGGGGAGACCCCCTGCATGTGGCAGCAAACAGTTAGATCACATTAAACTATCACCTTCTGTTTTCTGTGGCTCAGGGCTATGCCCACATCCTGTCTCTCACCCTGCTTATTGCCTGACTGCCATACCCTAAATTGAGATGCAAACTGACCTGTTTTGACAGTGCCCTGCAAACGTGCCCCTGGGCCACATACCATGGCTCCAGTCTCTGGAACGGTGATAATAAAGGCTCTGCTGTCTGTTTCTTTTCCTTTTGTGTCTGACAGATTGACCAAAAACAGTTTGATAAAATCCTGGAGCTGATAGAAAGTGGGAAGAAAGAAGGGGCTAAGCTGGAGTGTGGGGGTCTTGCCATTGAAGACAGAGGCCTGTTTATAAAACCCACTGTGTTTTCAGAGGTCACTGACAACATGCGAATCGCCAAAGAAGAGGTACAGTACAATCACTTCAATTTGAGATGCATTCACCACTGTCAACAGGAAAGAAAGATTGTACGGTAGTTTGAAGGGAAAGCCTGAGAAGAGAATAGAAGTTTGATTTATTTCACTTATTTCTATGCTCTAACAACTGCTAAATGCTGAAATCCATTCTACTGATGCAGTATCTGCAATGTGAGCTTCAGTTTGGAGTGTATGTACGTGTGGGGGGAAATTGTGAGAGAATAGGGAGAGCAGAACAGGCAAAAAACCTGTCAAAAGGCTTTAGCAGCAATTATGTGCAGTGTCTGTTTTCCAGCCCTTCCTAATGCCTTGCTGCTTTCCCTCATTTTGTTTGGTTTTCCTAAAGCAAAGCAGCCCTGTGAGTGTACTCACTGGGCAATAACAAACCCAGATTAAAACACAGTAGATGAGTAGATAAGACCCTAAAGCTTTTGGGTCTCATTTCAGGAGAACTGCATAATACAAGCACATGCCTTACCTAGATAAATGCTGCTTTAGAATAAGAAGTAATGGTGATGGAGGGAGTTCTGTCTGAAACCTTGATAGATATATAAATAACTGAGTAAAAATAACTGAAACTGTGGCAGGCTGGAGCAATTCTACTTATTCTTTGCCCTGTAGCTTGAAGGTTTTCTGAAGACAGAGTTAAGCTCTCCCACTCTACACCAAGGGATGGGTGTGCTCTTACACACCTCCTACGGAGTGGGCTCGAAATTGCTCAGCTGTGGTACGGTGACAGAGGACAGTGTAATGTGAGTTCTTTCTTCACTGCTTTGTAAAGAAGGAGTTACTTTCTTGCAAAAGGGTGGGAAAAGAACTCTGGACTTGAATGTGGTGAGAAAGGAAGGAATGGCCCTGCCATATGCCACTGAAGAACTTCTCTCAAGGAGCCTAAGCATCTGAAACAATCCCAGATTCCATTCTCATGGAAAAATCCCCTGAGACTGACCATTTTTTCCTATACGAAAACATGCTCCAAGCCAGCAAAGTGCAGACCTAATACTTTGGCTTTCATTACTCATATGCAGAAATGTTGAACAAGCTGCATGTGATTAGATCCTGTGATATTCCTTTGAAATAGAAGTTAATCTACTTTTCAACGTGTTCCTCAATGGAAAATAAGTAGTTGCCAAAGTCAAACTGGCACTTGTATTTGAGAGTTTAGACTAGTGCTTTTTATGGGGCTGCTTGCTGTTCACTCCTGGCAGGATGTTTAAATGTCTCAGATCTGCCACAGATTCTCTAAGGAACCTGGGAAAGGTATCAGTCAGTCAGGGCATGAGTTACATTCTAAAAATAGAGGGAAAAAGCTGAAAATCCCATGACAGACCATTTCTTAATGAACTCACTCCAAAGCCCAAGTCATGATTCACAAAGCTTATCCAGTTTCATTCACTTGCAGTTCTGTTGCAAATGCATGTTCATCCTTTGCCTGAGATTGAGGTTCCACTTAGTACCTGGATCTCCCAAAACAAAGACATTTAGAAACCCTTGTATGAGCCTAAATGTGGCCCAAATGAATCTGTATCCAAGTGAGTCTGTATCTCACCTTCAGGGTGAGATCTGGGAAGCCAAGTTTGTGGTCAAACTCTGACATGGTTAATGCAGTGCGTGCAAATAAACTGCACACACTGACAAAATCAGAGTTAAAACCAAGGGAGAAAATTTGCATCCTTTGAAATATATTAATGACTACTTGAGTACATTCAACTTCGGAGTTCAAAAGGAGAGTTGTAAATGAAATAAAGATGAATCATTTGAAACTTGTCCAGATCTAAATCTGCTTATTTTGATTTTTATAGATGATCTGTTAGTTGCTGGATCTAGACATGTATTAACTACTACAGTGCATACTGTGCTGCTTTTGAAGTTTCATTAGTAGCTTTTAAGAGACTTTATCAGCAACTTCTGGAAGGTTAGGATACAACATTTTAAATACAGCATCCAAACAAAGCATCTGATTCCGATTACTTCAAAATTACTGTGATTAGCAGAGGCTTTCCTGTACTAAAGTTTCATTGATATGTGCAGATTTTTGGGCCAGTTCAGCCAATTATGAAGTTCAAGAGTATAGAAGAGGTCATAAGAAGAGCCAACAGTACTGAGTATGGACTCACGGCCGCAGTGTTCACAAAGAACCTGGACAGAGCGTTAACGTTGGCTTCGGCACTGCAGTCAGGAACAGTCTGGTGAGCAGTGTGGGACCGTGTGGGCTGGGAGTTTGTTTCCTGGGAGGGCAGAGAGGTGCATGGCTTGTAACCATGTGTACATGCTGGAGGTAAGATGCATTATTAGTCCGTTTAATTCTTGATATGCTGCTCAGAAGCAACATCCATTCATCAAAACAAGATGGTGAGGACCAGTTTGGCAAGAAGTTCAATCGATGCAATTCTCTATCTGGAAAACTCTGGAAATGTAGGAGTTGGAGAAAGTTCCACCAGATGTGATGTCTTTCAAAATCCTGAGAGCAAAAAGCAATTCCCATTCTCTTTCGGCAGCAGCAGGCGTGTCTCAGCTGCACACACTAGTGCGGACAGTAGATGGCAACACACCACTGCCACAGAGAAAAGCAACTATTTTTGCTTATACGATTTCTATTAGAACAATTTTAACGATGGAATCCTGATTATTTTTTTTTCACTCAAGATAAGAATTTTCTCTGATGTCTGACTCTGATGCACACAAAGGATTGATTTCAAGAGCTGGCACCAGAAGAATCTGCTTCAAATATTTACTTTAAAATAGGATGTTGGGCTTTAAAGGATATATATGCTGTACATACATCAAGGTGCAGACCGACAGCACCAAGCCTGTCCCTCTTCAGTCATTTGATCTTACTGAGATGCTGAGGAAGTGTCTGCATTAGCTTTTCCTACGAAGTGTCCATAGAAATGGGCCTAGTGCTTTCATTTTACTGTGACACAATTGTCTAATACAGTCCAAATTTTTTTCTATACCTGGAAGCAGATGCTGGGGCCTGGTTGTGAGAGTTTAGAGAGATTTCTGAGTAAACATGTTTATTTCAGAATGTGCTTCATAAACTAGGGAATAGGCTGTACCGTTTATTTTAATCATGACTCTGAACACAGCATTAATTCCAGCTCAAGCATGAATGGCTTTGCCATTGGAGACTATGAAGTGAGATGTAGGTCAAACTGAGTACTACTCAAATGTTTCTCTTTCTGCAGCAAAATAAGATTTTATTGCAAAAATCTGATTTCTCAAGCAACTGAATTGTATAAAGAGAAAACTGACAGATTTCAGCCTTTCTTTGTATTGTCGTTGTTGTCATCATCTTGCTTCTCCTTGGTATTGAATTGTCTTTTTAAAATGAATGTTTTTATTGTAGGATCAACTGTTACAATGCTCTCTATGCACAGGCTCCTTTCGGTGGCTTTAAAATGTCAGGCAATGGCAGAGAACTGTAAGTTTTGCTCAACATTGTGTTTATATGTGGGTGGTGAATGCAGTAACGATTGTGCCTGTGAAAACACTGTTGAATTTGCTTTAAAACTCTCAGGCTTGCAGCATGCTGCACAGGGAGATGTTAAACCAGTACAGCATGTATATCAAACACTACTTTAGGAGTACCTTCATTGGCTTTATAAGCTTATAATAACTTCAGTTCAGTCAAGTCCACTTGGAAGCATTTTTCCGTACTAGTTAGATTGTTAGATGAAGGGGAAAGTATGGCACCTTGGCTGGGGCCACTGGTATCCACCCCAAACCTCCTCCATCTTTACAAGGTGGTATCTGGGCCTCCCTTGACTGCTGTATCATTGCTCCTAGTTGGACCTCTTCCAGTGGGAAGGAGTGATCTCCAAAATCATTCTACATCCCATCTTCCAAGCTTGCCACTAAATTACAGAAGGACCCTCTGTCCCTCTTTTCCAGCCTGGCCTGCCAAAGTGGGGCTACCAGACATTTCAGCTCTAATTAGTTACTAAAGCTGAATTTTTCAAACTCCATGAATTAGAGGTAGAGCTGAGAAATTCATAGAATCATAGAATTTAGGGGTTGGAATGGACCTTAGAGATCATCTAGCCCCAACCCCTACCCTGGGCAGGGACACCTCCTCACTAGATCAGGTTGCTCAAGGCTTTATCCAGCCTGGCTCTGAACACTGCCAGGGTTGGGGCAGCCACAGCCTGCCTGGGCAACCTGTGCCAGTGTCTCACCACCCTCACAGGAAAAACCTCTTTCTGGTACCTAACCTAAATTTCCCTCTTTCAATATCTCCCCATTCCCCATCATTGCAGTTCCTAACACAGAGTCCCTCTCCAGCTCCTTGTAGGCTCTTCAGATATTGCAAAGTTGCTATGAAGTCTCCACACAGTCTTCTCCAGGCTGAACAACCCCAGCTTCCTCAGCCTGTCTTCATAGGGGAGATGCTCCAGTCCTCTTGTCAACTTCATGGCTTCCTCTGGACTTGCTCCAACAGTTCCACGTCCTCCTTATGTTGAGGACACCAGAACTGCATGCAGTATAATTGTCTTAAATCTCAATTTCCTTCTTGTACAGGAGAGAGGCAGATTTTCTTACATCACTCAGCAAAGTCATCAGAGGAATCTCACTCACCTTTTCTTTCATAAACCAGGTTCAATTCCAGTAACTACTTCCAGTAGTTGTTCTGGTGCATCTGCTGCTCTGAGACATTCAAATGCCTGACTTGCTAAACACAGCAAATAAATGAATCCTCAAATGGGATATTATATAGAGACAGACCTTATGGTTTACTTTGCCTGACTGCCTGGCTAATTAAGGGATGTCAGGGGTTTATCCCATGGGCAAAGCATGGGAAAGGAGCCAGTTTCCACCAACCAAGACATAATGCAGTGGTGGGCTCTCTCATCAGTATGCATTTCTGGAGCCGCTGTGCCCTCTTGATGACATGGTATTTTGTAGATAGAAGCTTTCTTTAATTACTGTCTAAGCACTCATAACTGTTTGTACGTGGCTCTCTCTTCTGTGGCTTCACACAGCAGCACTCAGTTTTCACTAGGCAAAGAGTCACAGAGTCTTATCTTGTGGGTTACAGCGACCAGAAGCGTTCCATGTTTCTTTTACAACAGAGTGAAGCTGTGTGTTCTTACATGTATGTTCTTAGTGGTTAGTAGAAGTGATGGACCAAATTGGTAGCTGGTGTAAGTCAGTTCAGACCTAGTTTTAATGGCCTGGTGTCCTCTACAGCAGCTGTCAATGCGAGGTTAAAATGCACTGGTGTAGAAATTGCATCTCTCAGGGAAGTACACATTAATATGCTACAATTGTTTGTCCCTTTCCCTTCTCTCTCTTCATTTCCAGCGGTGAATATGCTTTGGCAGAATATACCGAAGTGAAGACAGTCACCATCAAACTCTCCCAGAAGAGTCCGTGAACACAGAAGGCCTAAAATGCTGACACTCTGAATGTGAGACATGGGGACGTGTTCAGAGCGAGGGGGAGGGGAGGGGTAGGGAGGAAAATGGAAACACCTGTCTTTATTCCTCTAGAAACACTGAATCTACTGGACTCCATTTGTCAACTGGCTCTTCAAAAACTGATTTACCTGACCCTACTGGCAGTACACGTCTGTACTGTGCAAGCCCCTGGCTGTACATCTGCCTGCTACCTGTGACCAAACACTGGTCAGTCACAGTGTTTGCAGGATATCTGCTTTCAAGCTGTACCCCTGAAGGACACGGACATCACTGGCGTGTTAGAGAGACTGCTGGTTCCATTCACATGGGCTGGTAAACACCTTCAGAGGCATTTGCATTTCACTTGGCATAGACGGACTCGAGTGGTTAGGGCTAGTACAACTTGGCTGGAGTTGGTGGAGTTTATGTGAAGATTGCAGCTGGAGTTTGGAATGGGAGTGCAAGCTTTCATGGAAGGATCTGTAAAGAAATTCTCTTTGAAAGAGCTATCTTGGTCTCTCTAAAGATATGTGCATTCTCCATACTGGTGATATTCTGGCCCTGAATGAGATTTGTGGGGTTTCCTAGAGGACTCCTTTGGGGCCAGTATTTCACCCAACAGAGCTAGACTTTCAAGTGTCCTTGGAACCTGATGTTTTGGTGTGCACACACTACACATGCTGCAAATGCAAGTTACTAACTTGCTGACCCTTCTGGCTCCAAGTGAGTCACAGTTGTATCTCAAACCTTCACTATAGCACTTTTTGCAAGAGGATTTTGCACTGTACTTACCGTGATGACACCAAGTTGGATGCTAAGCATGTAGCATGGTAGATACCCCACAGAAAACATCCACACCAGTCCTTCTGATCTGGGGGAGGGAGCAGAAGAGCTGCAGGAAGCTGTCCTGCTCTCTCTTTCTCTGTAGCTTTCAGGCTTTCTGAACATCTCTACATTTCTTGAGCCAGGGCTATTATTATGAGAGTAAAACTTATAAGCTCTTCTCACTGCTTCTTTATCCTGTATGAATGTAGCTTAAAATACATTTCTGGAAGTACAGTATGAAAAGGCAGGTGCTCCCAAGCACACGCAGTGCTCAAGACGTGGGTGTACAAGCCAGTTACCATGGAAAAGCTATGACTGGACTTATATGTGTCAGTAGCTTCACAGCAATCATCTCCGTGAGTACTATTGTCTCGTGGCCAGCACAGAGTAGCTGATCCTTCACTGAGAAACCAACTGCCTTGGATTGTCTCTTGCTCACAGCTGTCCACGGAGTGACTGTCACACCAAGTTCATGCCTTAGTACCTCCTGCAGTAACTTCTTTGCATGCCCAGACATTACTATGAGATTAATGACAAGCCACATGCTGTCTTCAGTTCCTGGGTTCACTCCTTTCCCTCCTCCTCCTCCTCCTGGCTCTACTGGAGAACCACTGGCAAACAGATGGCAAGTCCCATTGTCTGCAGGAGCTGTGAGCATGCAGGACTTAGTGGTGACAGCTTGTTAGGAAGTTCAACTGGTCTCACTGGCATTGCCCTCTGAGAACAAACCCATCGAGGTTCCTTATGGCCTATCAGCAGATCTCCAGGGAGCACTGATAGAGATTGCTGCCTGGAGTTTTCCAGATGTCAGAACTTGATGCAGAAATTCAGGTCTGACCTCTCTTCTCTGCTGCAAGCAGGGATTTAAGCCGTACCTTCCTTTGCTCAGAGATATACCCAGTCAGTAACAAGTTCTGTTGCATGAGTGGAGCTTTTTTTGGAGGAGGAAGGAAGGTGGGTGGTGATAAGTAAGGAAAAACTTTGCATGAGCCTAAACTTCCTGATTAGTTAGTGAACGTTGAAATTGCACTTCAACATTTCTTCACTTCTTACAAGACATACCTCCAACAGCTGTAACTAGGAGCCTGTCCTCCCATGGGATGTGAGACAGGTAAATCTCCCCATCCAGTGACAAAGTGTCCTCCCTTCCCCATGAAAGGCCAAATGGGAACATTGTAAATAAGTTTCTATTTTTGTAAAACACTTAGAGTGCAAACATCTTCTCAGACAAACATTTTACTTTTGCCTACCCGGGGGCTTTCTTGGGCTGCAGCCAGACTATAGGGAGGTGAGGCAAACAGTAAAAGGCTGGTTGGTTATCTTGATGTATCTCTGTATTTTTGATAAACAATGGTGGAAACTGAAATCATCTGAAATTCTTTAAATCGTACTATTCTGGCTTTATATGTATAATATATACTTCACCTTTTCTTTCCCTTATCAAGTTTTTAAAAAAGTCAATGTATCTCTTATTGTATAAATCAGGGTTTGACTCTACACACTGAATTTTCTAAGTTATATAACACTAGACACTAACTTTGAAATAACCCCTTCGAGGGTATATATATTCTTTCATTGCACAGTAAGGCTTTCTTATGAAATACTAGGTTTTTTTTAAAAAAGAACTATATTTATAAATTAGTTTACAGTTAATCTAATGTATTTTTATAGCTAAAGGTACATGCAAATGCTATGTTTAAACCTCATGTATATATTTAGACTATGGGTATCTTTTTGTAATAGTTCTTGTTCCTAATAAATGTTTAACTTTGTGAAACTGGTGTGTCTGGGGATTGCATATCTCACTGGGGGACTGTGAGGGAATCTGCACTTGGATTCATTCCTGCAGTTTGGGAAGAACTAGCCTATTTTAAAAGAGTGAAGTGCTGAAGTGTGGTCTGTGCTTTACACATAAAAGCTGGAGAGTGTGTCTGCAGCTCACCCTGCAAACAGTCACTTCTGTGAGTTGTGTCATTTACCGTAAGGGGAGGGAGGAGGAGAGCAGAGCTGCATCTGGCAGGGGCAAGCACAGCTTCTTCCAGTTCCAAGTCGGATGGATCCTCTTTTCCTTCTGAGCTGAACCTCTAAACCTAAGCATTTGTGAAGGGACTGTGGGTTATGCAGCCACATGGGCCTTCCTGCCTTTGTCTGGATGCTTCCTAAACCCCTTTGGGACACAACCAGCACTAGTATGACTCTGCTAAATGTGCTCCCATTTCTGTCTTGTTTCCCTGTCTGCAATGTAGATTGAGAGCAAGAACATTCTGATACCATTGTCGTTTAACTCTCTTCCCACTGGATACACTGTGTGTGAGAAATACCTGTCAGCTCCCTACACAGGCCAAGCCAGACTCCTTGATTTTTCTACTTGCTAACAGCATCACTTAGAAGCTTTTAGACTTTAGAAGGGGGAAGGCTTGAGATACAAAGGAATTACTGTGAGTGACATAATCAATGGAGACATCAGGAAGAGTGGGATGAGCTTTGGGAAAAAAGGGGAAAATTATCTTGAATGTGGATAATTATTTCTTAGGGAAGTTAGAGTTTCTATCATAATAAAGGAAAAAGTTATTTTAGTGGGTTTTCAAACAATTGTGTTAAAAAAGTTGTAAGAAAGGTCTGAGTAAGAGCTGGGCTGTGAGGCAGAAAAGGCCTGGGTAAGAAGTGGAAAGGCTGCCAGAAAAAAGTAACACTGTTCTTAGCTATGTTAGACGACAATGCTATAGGTACATTCTTGCTCTCTATCGATGGTTGCAGCTAGAGGCAGACTGAGAGAGGCCTGAACACAGGTGAAAGCACCAGTGAAGACCCATCCTCTCTGTGCCTCCACATCACCCCAAAGCAGCATCCCATGCAAACCTCAAACTGCCACAGCCATTCAAAGAATGGACATGGCATTTTCCATCCTCAAGTGACCATCAGAGACCAATTCCTGGCTATGGCCCAGGGAAAATGAAACACCCTCTGCGGTTCATTCGGAGAATCACTATGAGTAACAAACTAAAAGGCACGCGGAAATGCTCTTTTCTCAACAACTCAAATGGGTGGGGAAAATAAAGCAGTTCCAGGCTGGGGAGGAACGGGTCAGTGATGGGAAAGCACTGCGCACCGCAGCGAGCAGGCTGGAGCACAGCCCGTCTGACTCCTTCCGAAGAGAGGGGGCAACCTCGCTC